TCTTTTTTCTCTCTGCACTTCAGCTTCTTCGTATTCCTCTTCTCTAATTTATATTCCATTTACCGTCTCTTTTACTACATCTAATCTGCTTTTAAATCCCTCCCTTTTATGTTTTATTTCAGATATGAAATTTCTTAATGGTTGAATCTCCGACTTAAATTCATTACTGAGTTCTTGAATATTTTTCTGTACCTCCATAAGCATGTTTATAATTTTTATTTTGAACTCTTTCAAGAAGATTGGTGAGTTCAGTTTCATTTGGCCCTTTTTCTGGGTTTTGTGAGATTTTGGTCTGAACCATGTTCTTTTGACGTTTCATATTTCTGTGTGGTGCCCACCAGTGCTCAGAAGCTCCAGTCTCTGGAGCTGCTCAGCCCCTAGAGTAAGGTTGGGGGTCGCAGGGGAGCAGCGCTGGTGCCTGAGGGGAGGAAAGATCTGTTTCCTGATTCCCGCCTGCAGTGCCTGTCTCCAGTGTCAGAGCCAGTGGGCCAAGCACACAGGTGTAAGCCTCTGTGCTCATTGTCTCTAGCTGTTGTAGGCGGGGCCTCCCTCTGGCTGGCCTGACGCCAGCACAGTGACTGCCAGTTTGCGAACTGATGCCGGCAGGCTAGGAGGAAGGCGCAGCAGGCTGCATGTCCCGGGGGGGGGCCTCAGAGCTGAGCAGCCAGCCAGAGGGGTGGAGCACCTGAAGCTCCCCAAAGTTCCCAACCATCTGGGCAGAGCACGCCCAGACAACCTTGTTCAGCTCTCCCCTCCCGCCCCTGGGCAGCAAGCTCTGTGCACACCCTGCCCCTTCAGCAGCCATCTCCCTGCTGGGAAGCCTCTCAGACCACCTGCCTTTCCCTTGTACTGGAGCGACTGGGTGTGGATTCCTGTCCTCCACAAATGGCCAGAATCTCAAGCTCTCCGCCTGTCCCAGCTTCCCAACCTCCAGAGCACCACACAATACAGGTTTCTGCTCACAAAGCAGATCTCCAGGGGTAGGTGTGCAGCAGTCCCAGGCTTCCACCCACTCCATGCTCCGTTTCTCTTCCTCCCACTGGTGAGCTGGGGTGGGGGAAGGGCCCAGGTCCTGCCGGATTAAGGTTTTCCTCCTTTACCCTGTTTCGTGAGGTCTGCTCTGTTCATGAGGTCTCTCTGCAGTCTGGTTCAGCCTTCTTTCTTGTTGCTATTTTAGGGTTAGTTGTATTAATCAACTATATTTTTGTACATTTTGTGGTTTTGGGAGGAGTTCTCCATCTCACCTGTCACTCCGCCGTCTTGAATCTCTTTTCTGGGTTTTTTTTTAAAAGATAAGTTCCAAGAAGTGGAATTCTTGTGGCAAACAGTGTATACATTTTCTAGTGGCTAAATTGCTCTCTAGAAATACTATCCAATTTACATTCCCTCCAGCAGTACAGGAGAGTATACCCAGCATAGTGTGTTATATCATTCTTTCTCAATTTTTCTCAGTATAAAAAGTGGAAACAAATCATACTTATTTTAATTTTAATTTCTTTGGTTACTGGTATAGTTCAGTTTTTGTATGCTTATTGGACATACTATCTTATGTAAATTGATATTTTTACATTGTTTATGTTTTCTTGTTAATTTTTAATAGCTTTTATGTAATAAGATTTGTGATACACAGGACTATGCTAACTGTATTTGCATTATAGAATGATCTTAGCAATGTTTAAGAAGGATTAGAGACATGATAATGGCAGGAAGATGATTTAAAGCTGTTGCTATAATTCAGATAAAAAATGGTGAGAACCTTAATTTAAGGAAGGTAGCAATGGGGATGAAGAAATGTTGGTAGGTTCTAGAAATAAAATAGTGCAGTTGATAGAATTTGGTGCCTAATTGTGTGTGAGGGTGAGAAAGAAAGTAGTCAAAAATAGTTCCTGGTTTTCTGCCTTCAGCAACTTGATTTATAGTAATTTTTCCTGAGATGTGATTCATAGGAAGGAAAATGAACAGTACTAAAGGTCTGGAGTTTACAAGCAATAATGATTATATAACTTACAGGAAATGTGTAAAGAATATGACAGGATAGAAACCTAGGCAACATTGGTATTTAAGGGCTGGGTAAAAAGAGTAACCTGGTGTGAAACATTTAAGAGATTGGATGGGGGTCAAAGCCAAATTGCAAGACTGAAAGTATAGATGGCCCAGAGAGAGGGAAGAGTGGGTGGTGGCCAGTAGCTGAAGGTTTCAACTTGAGTTGCTTTATATCTAAGTGAGGATTTCCAGTAGGGAGTTGAACTTGTGGATCCTGGAATTTAGACCTAGATGATAGAATGTGGGAAAGTAGTAGAGAGTACAGAATAAGTGGCGTGAGCCTCAGAGAAGCAGGGACTTATAAATAAAGATGGAAAAATAATTATCTGCAAGTGGAAATGGAAACCTAAGAAGATGCCACCACTCTGATGCTGTGATGTGTGGGCTTATCAGCTTCCACTCCACAGTAGAAGAAGGAAAATCGAACTTTTTGGTGCTTCAATGCAAATGTTGTGGTAGATGTAAATTGAGCCCTCAAATGGAGTTAATGGTTTGGTGAAGCTAGGATTAGAGCTCTCCAGTTTGGGGATGGGAAATGGGAATTAATACAATCTAATATTCAGAAATTGGTGTGTCCTTTCAGTTCCCAAGTGGCATCTACATGGCTCCCTTCTTTTCCCAGGCCTTTGAACCCCCCCATAGCTTTAACCATCCTCATAATACCAGAATGCTGATCTTCCTCAGAGTTTTTGTTTTGTTATAGTACTGAATCTGGGTTTTTATCATCAGATATGCATCATCTGATCATCAGTCATCAAATGATCAGATAATAACTGATCATCAAAGCATATATCCTCAACAAATTTAGTAAATATGCCTTCTCAGAAATATTGCTGTGAACTGGCTACACAAGGGTGACTCACACATCTAAAGACCAACTGTGCTTTGACATCATTCCTCTCTGCTAACCCTGTTAGCAACATCAGCCCAGGTGATCAACACACCTGACCCATCACCTTTTTCATCTTGTTCACTAACTTTTTTTTAAATACCACTTTCCCTGTTTGGGTATATATAGAGATACCATGGATGTGCATGTATATGTTTGGATCACATTTGTATTCCTTACCATCTTTATCTATTTTATCTTGCTGCTTCCTCAACACAAAAGGTGTGTCCATTTGAGCCTACATCAGTCACACAAATGTTCCAGTTTCAGGCCCTCTTAATTGCAGGAGCATTTTCTTTAGTAAAAAAAAATTAAAATCTAGGGCTAAATAATGTTTAGTAGTATATTATCCAAAACAAATAAAATAAGGTGAAGCTGATAAACATATTCCCAAAAGAGGCACACTGTTGTATATCGAGCAGTGTTTTGCAATTTGTGATCAGAAGCACCTGGGAAGCTAACAGGCTTTTTTTTTTTGAGGGTTGGGGCTTGGGGTGGGGGTGGGGTGCATTCTGTGTACCTAGGGTGTGCTTGGTTTGTTAATCTAGGCTTTTGTGAATGGTGATAATTTCGAGGGTTTATTGTTTATTGGGCCTGCGTATAAGATGGAATTTTAAGTATTTTTAGCTGTTTCTCCAGTTCTTAAAGAATTTTTGTAACAATTGAAGAAAGGTTCCTCCCACATCTAATAACCTTTCAGGTGAATTTGGATTATTTTCTGCCACCAAATAGATGCATGTTTTAGGAGGTAATAGTGTCAGAAAATCTGGTGCAGGTCTTGGGGGAAAAAACCAGAAGACATTACAGAAATGCAAAGCATGTCTAAGTTCAAACATCACATGTGTTTCTTATTTGCCAGAGTAGGAAAATAGTATTTTGCTCTTTAAATGTACTGTCGTGTTTTGTGCCTCCCAATACATATTATATATCATTATTTCCCCCTCTGCTTCAAAATTACTGAACTGAAATGTTACCTATGAGTCAAAAGAAAATCCTTTGCAGGAAAAAAAAATGCTATTTTCTCCCACTGAGTTTGAACCGCACCTGATCTAATTCTCAAACCCTATTGCCTATTCCCTCACTAACACACTGTGAAATCTTAAAACCTTTGCACAATATGCCGCATTGGGGTACACTTGCGCATAGTGGAGTTATGGTCTCCAATGCACTCAGTGGCAAACCCTAGTTTGATGTTCCCCCAAGTATTCCAGTGTAGCCATGTTGGCCATAAAAGCATTTTTTAATTATAAATGACATATTCATAGAAAGGCCCAGACGTATCAAGTACTCAAAAAGCAGGAGTTCTCACTTTGTGCTTTTGCTTTTACTGTGAGGATTTATTCTCTTCACCAAATGCTGTTGGTAAAGGATTCCAAATGCAGGTTTGTAGCATGAGAGATGGTTACATTTGTAGCTCTCAGTTGTACTGTCTCTGTGGGATTTCAAGGCATTCTCATGTGTATTGATGTAACTCAACCTGAAATTGATTTTACCTGGCAATGTATTTTATGTTCCAAGAGACAGATAAATTAGTTGCATTAAGAGACAGTGGGGAATCTTAGACAAGAGTGGGAACGAGGCTTATTGGTGATACTAATGACTTCCCACTTCCATTCCAATTATTTGCTATAAAGGACATCAGAAAATGAAGCTAAATGAGGAGTCTGTGTTTTTCTGGACTATATTCATAAATCTGTAGGTACTTAATAGAAATTTTCAGTAATGACAGTAACTACCATTATTGAGTACTTTGTATATGGCTGGCTTTGCTGAGCCCTCTGTGTTTCATTGCCTCATTTAATCCTCAGTGTAATCCTATGAGGTTTGGTACTTTTATTGTATCCATTTCACAGTGAGGAAGCTGCATTTGACAAGATCAGTGACTGCCCACAGTCACAAAGCTGTTGGGTGGGAGTTTTGAGATTTGAGTGACTCTCAGATGCCAGATGCGAACCCTTAACCACCATGCTCTCCTTCAATTCACTGAATTCAACAGTATGGTTTTCTGTTTTACTTTTTTAATATTGCTGTCTACTTATCTTATTAAAGCTACAAATTTGTTTTATAGGAGCAAGTAGTGATGAACTTGGACAGCAGGCTTCTGATCTTCCCTTTATATATCTGCTGTAACTTCCTGTATATATCACCAGAAAAAAAAACTGAAAATAATCATCCAGAAAATCCAGAGAACTGAAGATCTCATCAGTTGCAAAGAGTAGCACTTTGAAAACTTTTTTAGCCAGCTTTAATTTAATGGCCCTACTGATATTCACATCTAAGGTGACTAACAATGACAAAGGCCTTATGAACTGTACAGATAATACAGAAGACTATTCTTACCCTCATTACATTTCTATGCATATATAAAATACATTTTAAAGCCAAGAAAGTATCTGTCAGCCATCTATCTCTGTTATAAAGATGTCGACTTATGCTTTTAATTTAACATTAGAAAATTGCTGTAGGTAAATTTCACATTTCTCTACAAACAAATACAGGTTTATTTTTAGCTTAAACTTTGATCCTAGCTAATGTTGGCAAACCTCAGTTGCCATCTGTAAATTTATTTTTATTTGACTAAAGGAATAATTTGAGCAGCCAATTATAAATGCCCTTTCAATTGGTGTGCTTAAAGCTGTCCTTTAATTTTTTTCAGGTGCTTTTTTATGATTATTCCTATTCTAATATTTTTCTAAGTTATACTTGTTTTTAATCATTACTTTTTTCATAGTTTTGGAGATTAAACTGGGGAACTTTTTATTTAACTTAAGCATTTTCTTGCTGTTTTATTTTGCTTGCTTTAGGATTTTAACAAAAAATCAGCTTCAGACATTCAAATGAACTTGAATGGGGGAGAAAATCAGTTTGAGTCTGAGGATATTCCTTTGCCTTACATGGTCTTTTTCTTTGACATTCTATACAACTTTATTATTAGGTCATGGATTATTTATATACCAAATATTATACTTTAAACATTTTCATATTCTCTGATCTTTAGAATTATGTTCAAGTTTTAGTTGGTAATCCTAAACTTAAGCTCAGGACTTTATAATCTCTAATTGAGTGCCTTTGAGTTACACATGCTAATAGAAATTTCATAGCAAATGTAAATAAGGTTGGAGGATCTCATAGAAGCTAATAAAGCATTCATGTAAAAATAGAACTTATTTTTGTCAAAAATGAGATGTGCACTTGTCATGATTTATATGTGTTGACTTACTGTGTTTACTGCTATTTTGAAAATAGCCATGCTCCTCTCTTTCCAGTCAGAGTAAGTACTTTTTGTGGTTAATGTATATTTTTAGTAAGTTTTTAGAAATGGGAATCATTTTTATGTATCTATGAATAAGTACCCATTTGGAAAAACTAAATGAGCTCTTATATAAAATGGACCAAAAAAACCTAGTTAAAAACAGAATTTTTTCTTTCTAGTTAGACTTTTTTCCAATTAGATTTAACTTTTGGAATTTATTGGGATTTTCTTCCCTATTAATATGTCCATAGGTTCATAAATTGCTTTTGTCCTTTCAAAATTCATCTTCTTTGAACTTGAACCTTTTAAATGCCTCACCCTCTTGTCCATTCTCAGAACTGGTATCTAACTGTTTCAGATATAATAATTTGGCTGTATCAAGAGGCTACATTTCTTCTTTTTATATTTGGCTATAATTATATCTCTCATGAGATCCTTTTGTTTTCTATCTTACAGCATCATAGGTTCTTTACCCTTTATGTATTAAAAAATATATAAATCTTAAATTGAATTACTTGAATAATTGAATTTTTACAGAACTTGGGAGTAAAGATAGTTAAAGTTTGAGTATATTGGTGAGTGAAATTTTATTTCACTTACACAAATTAGCAAAATTGGTATTATATATGGTTCCTGTCCATTGGTTCTTTCCTGGCCAAATTGCTTATGTCATCCACAAACAGAATAATTATTTCTTCAGTCACAAGTAGGATGTGCTCTCACTTAAGAAACTGGTAATTGTCAGCTAGTACTTCACACTGATAGGAAAGATCTGCTTTTGTTTTCTTACCAAATACTTCATTGTGTTTACATGCTTTTCATTATTTTCAATAAAGTTATTAATAGTGTCGACTGAAATATGAAAGCTTTTATATGTTTGTCAGCTTTTGCCTTCTTGACTTTGCCAAGTCTTTTTTTAAGCTGTTGGGGCTAGAAAACAATATCTACTCATTAATAATTACTTTTGCTTGGCTAAAAGTAAAGGTCCTTCAGTGAAAATGTTCTAGACTCTTATGCTAAATGATTAAAGAGGGATGTGAATGTACCTTTGCTTTTTTTATTTGTTTTAATGGATTTGGTTTGAAACTTAGCAAGGTAGTCAAAAGTCTGAACAGTGGTAGTCCACAGCTTTAGAAGCTAACATTTTATCACATTTCAAGCCTTACAATTGGATTACTATCGTACATGAATAATTGTTAACATCAAATGCAAGAGTAGGGCTACCAAAAGTCACTGGCTATTTAAGTCAATTTAAATTTAAGATTTGCTCTTCAGTCACACTAGGCACATTGTAAGTGCTTAGTAACCACATGTAACTAGTGAGTAGCATATTAGACAATGCAGATGAGCATATTTCCATCACTGCAGAAAGTTCTGTTAAACAGAGTTGGTCTAGAATATTGGACTGTTAATGTTGAAACTATGTCAAAAGTTACATCTGTTAAAGATGAACCCTTGCAAAGCATAGAAAAGATAGCCCCTTCCTCAGCCTTCCCCGCGAGCGGACGCGGTAGCGCCTCCGCCTCGCTTTTTCTTATTTTCTCCCCCTTCTCCCTTTCCTTTTTTTCCTTCTCCTCCCTCCCCCTCTTCATTTCCCGTCGGAGGCACTTCCCCCGGGCAGGGGCAGAGCCGGTGTCACCACCCGCCTCTGCCCTCCCCCCGCCGCCCTATGGCGAGAAGGAGCCCCCTCCCCACCCGGGCACTAGCGGCGGCGGCCCCAGGCCCGGGGGCATCATGGAACTGAGTCGCCGACCCACCCACCGGCCGCAGCCGTGAGTACCGCCCGAGCGCCCGCGCCTGCGCCCGCCGGCCCGGTTCCTCTCTTGTCTCTCCTCAGTCGGCCCAGTCCTCGTCCCGCGCGTCCCGCCGCCCCGCGCCAAGAAAAATGTGGTGACAGGCCCCCGGATAACCCCGAGTCACCGCCGTGAGGCCTACAGCTCTGCCGGGGAGGAGGAGGAGGAAAAGAATGTTTCTCCATCGCAGAGAGATGAAGTGATTCAGTGGCTGGCTAAACTCAAGTACCAATTCAACCTTTACCCAGAAACACTTGCTCTGGCTAGCAGTCTTTTGGACAGGTTTTTAGCTACTGTAAAGGCCCACCCAAAATACTTGAGTTGTATTGCAATCAGCTGTATTTTCCTAGCTGCCAAGGCTGTTGAGGAAGATGAGAGAATTCCAGTACTGAAGGTTTTGGCAAGAGACAGTTTCTGTGGGTGCTCTTCATCTGAAATTCTGAGGATGGAGAGAATTATTCTGGATAAGTTGAATTGGGATCTTCACACAGCCACACCGTTGGATTTTCTTCACATTTTTCATGCCATTGCAGTGTCAACTAGGCCTCAGTTACTTTTCAGTTTGCCCAAACTGAGCCCATCTCAACATTTGGCAGTCCTTACCAAGCAATTGCTTCACTGTATGGCCTACAGCCAACTTCTGCAGTTCAAAGGATCCATGCTTGCTCTAGCCATGGTTAGTTTAGAAATGGAGAAACTCATTCCTGATTGGCTTCCTCTTACAATTGAACTGCTTCAGAAAGCACAGATGGATAGCTCCCAGTTGATCCACTGTCGGGAGCTTGTGGCACATCACCTTTCTACTCTGCAGTCTTCCCTGCCTCTAAATTCCGTTTATGTCTACCGTCCCCTCAAGCACACCCTGGTGACCTGTGACAAAGGAGTGTTCAGATTACATCCCTCCTCTGTCCCAGGCCCAGATTTCTCCAAGGACAACAGCAAACCAGAAGTGCCAGTGAGAAGTAGAGCAGCCTTCTGCCATCACCTCCCAGTTGCCAGTGGGTGCAAGCATACCTCTGCTAAACGCAAAGTAGAAGAAATGGAAGTGGATGACTTATATGATGGAATCAAACGGCTCTATAATGAAGATAATGGTTCAGAAAATGTGGGTTCTGTGTGTGGCACTGATGTATCAAGGCAAGAGGGACATGCTTCCCCTTGTCCACCTTTGCAGCCTGTTTCTGTCATGTAGCTTTCAGGCATGACCTTTAAGTGTTAAGTAAGACTACTCTGGAAATGGGAACAGAAAATCAGGAAAGGTTGTATTAAGGTATATAACTTACCAGGCTGATTTGAAATGAGCCAGAAGAAAAAAACCCCATTTACTTGTATGGCTAATTATAATTGAACATTATTTAAGCACTTAAAGACCAAAAAAGAAGTATAAAATTCAAAAGATCCAAAACTTTTCTAAACTAAAAAATTTCTTTGTGGTGTTTGTCCATTCTACCCTTTTCTCTGATAAAACATGATGTAGATTTCCCATGTGTCAGAATTCACAATTTTTTTTTACATCCCCAAATTCATAGTTAGCAAACCTTATCTGTCCCCAATGTCCTGATTTAATTTCCCTTTTGCTTTGGCTTGCTTCTTTGAATACTTATTAAATTTTATGCATGTTGATCTATCTATAGCCTGACACTGATTAGGAAACCCTCAAGTTAATTTTTAGCAATTTACTGAGCAAATTATTACAGTGAGACAGCCATGATTCATATTCAGATTAATCTGCAAAAGGTACTTCAGAATTGCCCCGTGAGTCAGAGGTGATAATAGGAAAAGGATTCACATTACCATGGTTTTGTCTCAATTTCTGTTAGCTTAGGAACAAAATCATTGTTTTCATTTTTATTTCCAAGTGAAGCTTAAAAGTAGCACATAATTAGGACACTCAGATTTGTTGAAAGCATTTTTGACATTTATATAAAAGAACTTGTGATAAAATTACTATATCCAGATGCTCACCAAAGAGACATGCAACAATTAAAGTTGGGGGCAACTGATAGTTTTCATTCATAATCAGTGAGAGAGACTAGATGTTGGGGCAGCTCTGATTTGGGTCTGTAACATGTAAGAACTGAATTCAGTACCCTAGTTTTATGTTAAGCTATTAGGATTTTCTTGATAGTCATTTCCCCTGTCTCCCCAGCCTACCTGTATTTCTTTTAATGACTTCTGGATCCTGAGCTCCCTGTGCAGTCTGATGTAGGTATTTCAGTGTACTGATGATAAACGCATCTGGTAGCAATAAAAGTTGTCCTTAACCTTTAAAAAAAAAGAAAAAAAGAAAAGAAAAGATAATAGAGCCATCCTCTGCAAATAACTTGTCAATCACCTGAAAAGATACATTGAATCATAATTTCAAGCAATGTGGACCTAAAAAATAAAAGGCATAGTACCAACCAGAGAGTTTGAAGTTCTTCCCAAGGTCTAAGATACAGAGACATAAAAGCAAAAAGCCTGAAATGTCATCAATCACTGTTAACTAGCAGTCAGACTACATCTAATTAGGGGGAAAATTACTGACTCAACAGCATGCATCCATAGATAGTGACAAATTAGAATACTTTGTAAAGGCTGGTGTTTTTGTTTTTGTTTTTTATGAAGTAGGACTGGCAAAGATATAAAAAAAAAAACTAACCGAGGCTAGAGACAGTACATTTGGAGAGAATCACAGATGGCTAATACTGGTTCTTACATAAGGTGCATACATACTTTAAGTACAGTTTGCCTTTATTGAAAACTTACTGTCTGGTTGGGGAGGGAATTTATAATCAAGTGTGATAATAATGTATGATCTTACCCCACCTACCCCACTCAAACTGCACTACAATGGCCTTCAGAATGAGGGAACTTCAAACCATGTTATCATAAACCTATTAGAAAGGTTTCTTCCCAATACAATTGCTGGACATATACAGTGCTGATAATCTACATCCTAAGAGAGGGCAGCTTGATCAGTAAATAAGCCCCAAAGGAACCCAATTTCTATCCCACATCTTAAAGGGGGAGGAGAGCCATTTGGAGACCACCTGGCTAATACTCATCCCAGCTGTCCCTTTAGGGAACTTACTCCTCTGATTTTTCCCTTTCTCTTCTGTATCTTTACTTTTTTTTCTCTTTATGAACTCATTTGCACCAATATTTAAAGGTACTTAAGTTTCTCCCATTCTCAAAAAATCTTCAGTCACACACTACCTCTAAGCAGTGCTGTATTTTGGCCTCTATCAGCCAAGCTTCTCAACAAGGGTCTCTAAATGCTCTCTCCACTTCAAAAGCCATTCACAACTCAACTCCACTAAAACTTCCTGAATCAACAAAGACTTTATTACTAAATTGTATAGGTTAGATGTGGGTTTTTCATTCCTTTTAACTAATCCTTAAAATTAATCACTTTGTTCTCTTAAAAGTAGCCTTCTTTTAAAACTTCTGACACCACATTCTCCTACTTTTCCTTCTGTTTTTCTGGCTACACCTTAGTCTCGTCTCTCGTGAGGCCCTTTGCTTTTCTCTCCTGAGCCTGCACCAAGTGATTTCATGCATTCTCATGGCTTCAAAGAACATCTATAGTCTGATGATTCTTTTCTCTCTAGTTCCAGCCTAGATCTCTCTTCTGAGCTCCAGATACACATCTAGTGTTCAAAATGGCACCTCAAATAAGCATGTCCTCAAATTAGCATGTCAACATCTTCCCTCAGAATTTATCCCATATGCCTTATCTTAGCAAATGATGCTACTGTGTACCTAGTTTCAGACTAGTTCCAGCCTAGATCTCTCTTCTGAGCTCCAGATACACATCTAGTGTTCAAAATGGCACCTCAAATAAGCATGTCCTCAAATTAGCATGTCAACATCTTCCCTCAGAATTTATCCCATATGCCTTATCTTAGCAAATGATGCTACTGTGTACCTAGTTTCACAAGCTAGAAACCTTCTGTCATTCTTGAAACTTCTAAATTCCCTCATCTTCCAAAAATCAGTAGGTTTTTCCAGTTTTGACTATTTTTGAAGTTCAGGCACTTTCCACCTTACTAGCAGATACCATTCTAGTACAGGCCATGGTGATTTCCAATCTAGATTATTTTACCAGCCTCTTACTATATTCTCCCTCTAGTCAAGTCTCCACACCCCAATAGTGTTCTCTGAATAATTCAAACTCAAATCTTGATTCCCTTCCATCCTTAAAACCCTTCAAAGACTCTCATTGACTTTGCTTCAGGAGAATTCTTTACCATAGTTGACAAGCCTATTCTAGCACTGTATTTATATTTCGCTCCTAATTTCCTAGGTGGCTGCCATAATTCTTTCCTTTGGGTCTCTGGCCTATCCTCTCCCTTGCCTCTTGCTCTTATGCATCTCTTATGCATTCAGTCTCCTCTATCTGCACAATTTCTTCTACCTCTCCTCATCACAAACGTAACCCGTTTTAAATGGCTAATTTCACCTGGCTAATTTCTACTCATCCTTACGGTCTCGTTTAAACACCATTTCCTACTTGAAACTTTTCTTGACAACTCCCCCTCAAAACCAGCTAGGTACTCATATGCATTATATCTCATTCTTCCCCTATCAACACTGTTTGATAATACTACCTTACCCCTTTACACTGTTTACTTGTTTATATCCCTCCCTGGACAGCAAGCTACTGAAAAGCAGACTTGTGTCTTTTTTGTTATGGGTTGAGTTTGTTCCCCTCAGTTCTTGTCTTGTCACAACAAAGATTTGAAAAGCAGAGACACAGTAGTGAAGCAGAGCAAAAAGTTTTATTTGAATACACTCCAAAGGACAAGTGAGCCAAAGTCAAGGTATACAAAGGCTCCAAACTTTTAGGGGAGGGTCTATTTACCAGGACCTAGCTAGGAGGCAGTTCTTTTTTTGTCAGCATTAGTTATACACCCATTCCTCTTGGTGCACATGTCTTTTCCTAAAATGCACACAAAAAAGCCCATGCAGGAAGGGGGGAAGCAGAACTGCAATTTATTTTAATGAGATTATGATGAGGTGTGGTTTGGGCAGTTCTTAGTTTTGCTGGATTATGCTAACGTTGGCATTAGGTTGGGACCAGTTCAGCCTGGTCCCAATAGTCAAAGAAGTTTTGTCCCTGCAAAGCCGTTGTTGTCTTCACGTGGGACCCCCTACTTGGACGGTTTGGGCAGTATTTTTCCTTGAACCTTATCCTCTTTGAGTAATTTTATTAATCATGCCCTCTTTCTTTCTTTTAATTTTTGATATTTGACATCTGGGGACATGCTAAGACTGCCCTTCTCGGGGCTAGCTAATTCCTAGAGAGAGCAAATGTCTCCCCTTAAGACTGTGCTTTTCACAAGCAAACGAGACAAGCAAAAGCTCATACCCTCCAACCACCTTCATTATCAAACTCTCAAAAGCCAAGGTGGTATTTCTCTACCCTAATGTCTCCAGGGCCAGGTACCAAACAACTGTGGACAGCCCCTACATCCAAAGGCCTGCTGAAATTATTCAATCTAGCCAATCTTAAATCTCAGCCTGTTTACCCCACCTTTGCTATTGCATCCTGTAAAAACCACAATAAAGGCTCTCACTCATGTTTTCTTTCCCCTTGTTCTCTCTGTCTCTGAGCCCACCCTATGCTTAGTCCTGTGGACTTAAAACTGTTTAAATATACCATGTTTGCAAGTGATTTTATACGAAATATTTTATGCATATGGACAAGAACTGTTACGGAAAACCTGGACGGGATCGCTGACGGAAGAACCAAGCAGCACTCAGAGGTCTTGGAGGGTGGAGGTTTATTTCACACCAGTGGGCTCAAGGAGAGTGATCTCCAAAAGTCTGAGCCCAAGCACAGGTAAGAGGAGCAATTTATACCTTTCCACCTATGTGGCAGTTTGGCGTGAGCGGCAGGCAGGTCGGAAGAAGAACCCAGTAGGGTCTCAAGGTGGGGAGGGACTGAGATTCTCCTGTGGGCTCTATCGGCCACGTTGAATATTTTCCTTATCACTGCCCCCTCTAATGCCCCTTTAAATACCTTGTTTTAGGGGGCATCATCATCTTGATTTATGACAGGGTCATAATGGCTTTGCGTGTACACGAGCTGTATGGAGCTGTATAATGTGTTCCTTAATAAAAGTTAATGAGCCAGTTGAGGAGACATGGTCCTACTAGGAGCCCAAGGAACAAAAGGGCTGCTGGCCCAGCAAGGCCAGTTAGAAG